AGAAAGAAAGAAAGAAAGAAAGAAAGAAAGAAAGAAAGAATACTTTTAAACGACCACACTCGTGTTGGGTGCATCACACTGTGTGAATGACTGGTGGTGATGGGTCATGGAGGATATGTTCTTATAGCAGATCATGTGATCGCTTTCTTGGCCAATGACTACACACATTAGTAATCAAAAGTAAATGTGAGTATGCTCCAGCTGTGGAAGTGCAGAGCCAGACACAACAATTGTAGATGTGACTTTTCTTCCACAACAACTCTTTGATGTTGGCGTCACCACTTGGTACCAGAGACCTCGGCTGCTGTTTGAAGTCCCAACACCCACCCCTCTTTCCTCTGCTCATGGCTCTCCACAGCAACATGGACAAAATAAATCAACACAGATTCTCTCTCTCATTTCGATCGCTCCGGTCTGGTCTGAACCGGTCGTGTCCTGTCTGGTGCAGTTCAGTCCAGTTGTCCCATATTTAGAGACTCTCTGGTCCACTGACCTGATGGCTTACTTATTCACAGAGTTGTTTGACATGCATGTGTGCTTCTATAGGTTTCCTAGCATGCTGCTTTGTGTTGGGCACTCCATGCCTCATGTTACGAAAGAGACTGAGCAGTTGCTATGCTGAACTGCTGAAAGCTAGACTGAGCGATGTGACATCCAGGCGCAAGGACGATCCAATGAGGACAATATGTGAAAGGTTAGAAGTGGACATGCCATTACTATAAATCCATCAGTCAAGGCAAGGTCAAACACTTGCCCTTAAAACAGGTTTTTGGTATTCATGTACACAGAGGACTAAAAGAGCCCACCGAGATTAGCCTCTATGTCTCTTTGGTCACTTATTTGGTATGTCCAAAGAGAAATCTGAGAACTAATGAACTGCAAAAGCAAAATGTTTTACATTTTGGATCAAACGTAAATGCGATCTTAGTAAGAATTGATTTAGAAGGTAATTTCATCTCGTTTCTGCAACTATACCTGTTGAGCATGTTGCTAAAATGCATTTCATCCCTAATCCTACCCCTATGTGGCTCTACAGCAACCTATTGTACATTAACCATCTGAGATCTAAGCCCCAAACCCTAAGTTTTGTAGACAAGAAAAACAGGGGTTTTTTTGACAAACGTCAACACATTTTGATGTGTCGGTTAGAACCAATATGTTCTTTGTCCCCTTATTGCTAGAAAAAATGAACAAATATTACATATTCTGATAGTATAGGGTGATTACCCTCAGAGGGTAAAGAGTACACTTATAAAAACTTATAAAAGGCAGAATAAAATCTCCAGACTTCCTGTCTAAAAATGCGTGATCAAACAATTTCCATAATGTGCTTAAATCTGGTGCTTTTTTCTTCCTAAATCACCTATAGTCCACCTTTAAAGACCCCACATCTTCAGATTGTATGGGTCTTTCTTGTTAGAAGCTTCAAGCCCAAAACTGAATTTTATGAAGAAGCTCAAAGGAATTATGATTCGGTTTTGGAAAGCTCCTCCAGAATCACAAGAGAGATTATAGAAGAGTTTTCAGTCTGTGCCACCAATAAATTTATGGAAAACTTTGATGGTCCATTATAGGACCATTGTAAGGGTAGTCTTTCAAAACATTATGATGGATAAATGGATATACTGATCCTATACATGTCCCCCTGAGGTGAGAGTGTTATCCTTGATGATGTCATATCTCTAAGTCTAACAACGGCCAATAAGATGTGTTCAGTTTTTGAAAACCTGCGCCCTGGCAGGGCGGAGATCTTGTGCCATATCATTCTAAGACTCATTATTTCATACAAAAAGAAAAAGAAAACAAAAAAACATGAGCCAAGAAAGACTATAAAGTTGTCATGAGTAAGCTTTTCATAATGTTGCTGCATTGTACATCCGACATGTAGACCAGAAGAAAAAGACTTTCTTTACATGGTAAGGAATACATGCCAAAATGGAAAGCTTGTAAATTCAATATACAGAGAAGTTGTGTGTGTCACTTTGCAAAATGTATGCCAAAATTGGAGTCATCCAACACTGGAGCGTTCAACATTCAGTTTAATTTGTGTATAATAATATTTGGCCTTCCCTTGTAATATGAAAAAAACAAAACAAACAGAAATGAAGACTTTGCTTTTAAAAATGAGGAAATGGATTTTTAATCAAACAGAATGTCATGCCTCTTTCCAGACTCGTGTCTTCACAAAGCAGGAGATGTTTCATGTTCAGATGATTACCAACTGGGCTGCAGCGCTTTCATGCTCTGAAGAAAAACATGTAGCCTTGTTCCAGAGTCAGACCTCATGAGACAAATATGCACTCTAAGAATGAATCCATGGCAAACATGCTTGTTTACATGTCCTTCCTCCTAGCTGTTTCTGATGGGTTGAATAGTAGACAAGTAGCATATTCCTCAAAGGCATTCACAAGATGACTGTTGAATAATCCTGTTTGTAATTTGTTGTACTTGACGATCCAGAAGGATCTCTCTCTGCAGGCAAAAGGATAAAAGAAAGGTCAAATGGTTACAAATCATCAACTCCATAACAAGATGTATGTGAACTGTAATAAGTTAATGTTATACAAGAATTTGCAATTTTTATTCATGTCAGTACTTTCAGTATCTAACAGATTTAATAGAAGAATGACACAGTTTTCCAATTAAAGGGTAAAGGTTAGCTTAGCCCCACAACACAGGCCAGGCCTTTAGTTGTCTAATCTTACAGTGATAAGGGCAGCAGGTGTGGTGGCAAATCTTAGATTGTAATTGATCCAAAAATAAATAATTAATTCATTACTTAAAAGAATTCCATTAAACAAATTTCTCATTTCTAGCTAACAACGGTTACTGGCTTAAAGAACAACAGTCAAAGGCTAACTAACTTAATGGCTATTTGACATAAACATTAGCTAAAATATTCTCTAAATTATTTTTTATTAATCATAGCTGAGTCATGTCAAAATTACTTGTTGGAATGAATTCTGTCTGTAAAATGCACAGGTGAACTGTGAATGCTAACAATAGCATTTGCCTTGTTTGTGTCACTATAATAAACCAGTAGCTGAAGCGAGCTATTGCTTTAGTGGTTAGTATTTTTTTTAAAAGAAACCCTATCGCTGACACTTAATGGATAAAGTGTGCATATATGGTTGCTAATAAACAGCTAAATTGAAACAGGGAAAGCAAAACAACAGGTTTCCTAATGAGATGTAATTGTCCAACACCCATTGCCCTGTTAAATGGGGATTAGATGTCACTGTGGTTGCCAGTGTTTGTTCGTCACTGGTAGTCTCTTACAAAACAACCTTTAACCAAAGTATGTTCAGCAAAACACACCAAAAGTAAGGGTGAAGTAGATGAACATTTATCAAGAGTTTTAAGAACAGACACACTCAAGCGGATACAAAAAGTTATTGATTTATTAGCGAGATATGAAAAGGCTTTTAATGAAGCAACTGGTTGCTACAAACAACTTCATGCTTGAAGACAAAGGCTACAGCTAACAAGCATAAAGTTAGCCTCTTCACCAAATAAAAACATTGGTCTTATCAACTTAGTCTGTTCAGTTCATACCTTATAGGGAATAATGTCAATAGGACTCTTATTTTTTGTTCCTTTTAATGCTAGGACAGTAAGATGTCTGTTAAATGTGACGTTATCTTGGGTGATGCTAGCTATGGTTGCTACAGTAAATGTTATTGGATCTAATGGACAACACTGCTAACACTAGCTTAAACTCTGATAGCATCAACGTCACAGATAGTGTATATACAACTAAGTGGATGTGCTAGTGATAAAAGGGGCACTGCATTATTTAAAAAATTAGCTGCTTGGCCTTTTAGGTAACAACTGTTGGTTAAGCTAATGATTGTATCTTATGTTAGCGATGAGAAACACACCTTAACTCATTTGTCATGGAATAGCACCGATAAGGAACCACCTTAAACTCTGGAAATACGTCTTTCCACATTATGAACAAACCCAAAGCTTGAAAGACCTTTTGTGCTGCGTTACAGTTGCTAAGCTGTGATTGAACAATCATTAAACAAGCCGTGATTTTTCACAAGCGGTCAGCGCTACTCGTTCTCTGATACACTGAATATTCTATTTTCTATATTCAGTACCCTTGTAGTGTCAGATTTTGACACTGATGTTAGGAGTGATGATTCTTAATGTGTAAAATTACCAAAATATTTATGACCACTTTCCACCTGCTCCAGGCCTGTCAGCTGTGCAGGGACAACAAAGAAAGAGAAAACTGAAGGTAAAGGAAAGCCGTCCTCTAAATGAACCTTTTTCTTGCAATGGAGAATGAAAGTATGAGTTGATAACACCCCCTCCGATTCATGCTCTCATTGATTAACTCATAACCATGTGCCATATTTTATCTTGCGAGACATACAAGACAAAAAAACAACAAAAAAACAAAAGAAAAAAACTATTGTGTGACATATGCTTCTAATGATGAAGTTGGTTTTCCTTCCTTTTCATTTGTGAATCATATTGTGTAAACAAGAATCTTTGGTGAACAAAGTCAAGGCTACTAGTGTTACTAGAGTGCTGATGCTGCAATCTGTTACTATGTGGATGTATGAATATGTATGTGAGAAATAAGAATACTTTGATCAACTGTTACAGGTACTTTATATAAAAACCTTTACAAGCATTGTGTTCTGTATTTTGTTCAGGTGTTATGACTGACATTGAGACAGTTCTTACTCGGACCACAGAAAGGCAGCAGAGAGTCTCTGAAGCTGCACATTTGAAGCAGCTGAAGAGGAGCTGGGAGGAAGAGCATCATAATAATTTTGAAAAAATGCAATTACTGCTCACTAGCTCCCTAACCTGACACTTGAGAGTCATTAAGAGTAGGTTTAATGTTTATTGGTGATAAAAATTTTAATACCAAATCCCTCAATTCATTGATTATTCTGCTCTATACATCTGACATAAAGAGAAACGTACTGATAATGCTAAACACTTAAATACTTGAACTTT